TATATATCCCATAATTTACATACAAATCTAACCTTTCATATTTCTCCTATATAATATAACTAATTTGCTTCTCTTATCCTTCATTCTTATCATAACTTGACTTTTGAAGTTTATTACTTTTATTGATTAGTGGCTATTTTATCATAAAACATGTTTTTATCTCAAAGTTTCAAAGCATTATATTATTTAGTTCAACTTTTAGGAGTATTGAAACCTGAAAGTTATTATAAAAAAATAGTTAAACACTTAAAAAATGATTTTGCATGTTCATGTTGTTTTTAGTAGTCCAATGTGTTGTGAATTGTGATACATGTAAACTTTCTTCAAATCAACACCATACATATACATAATTTTTTTTACAAAGAACGTCTGAATATTATTAAAAATAATTAAGTTAAACGTTGTAGTTATAATTAAAAAAAAAACTTGTACATAAACGTTAAGACTTTAGAATATATACATTAAACCTATTAAAAAGTTTTGACATGAAGAGAGTAAAAACTTATTTTTTTTCTTTTTGTCCTACATTGATTCACATACAAATCTAACTTTTCGTCTTTACACTATATAATATAACTAATTTGTCTCTTTTATCATTCATTATTTATCATATCGTGGTTTTTAAAGTTTATTACTAATACTAATTAGTGGTTATTTTATTATAAAACATGTTTTTATTTCAAAGTTTCAAATGATTATATTATTTAGTTTCAATCTTTAGAAGTATTGAAACCTAAAAGTTATTATAAAAATAGTTAAAACAATTAAAAAATGATTTTGTATTTTCATAGTATGTTTGTTTTCTGTAGTCCAATGTATTGTGATACATATAAACTTCTTTTGAATCATCATCATACGTATACATAATTTTTTTAAATGTGATTCAAGATAAATAATTTATCTTTTACCATATTAATTTGAATTTTTTCTATTTGTCCCACATTGTTTCACATACAAATCTAACATTTCATCTTTTTCCTATAAAATATAATTAATTTGCTTCTCTTATCTTTCATTCTTGGTCCTAACTTGGTTTTTAAAGTTTATTACTAACTAGGAGGTGATCCCGAGCTTCGCACGGGACAAATTTTTTTTTTTTTTTTGGCATTTCCCTTATACTGGCAGGTAACTGATCCTTAACTATCATATTTCAGAAGGAAAAAAAATC